CGTGCCGGGCGCTGGGAGCGGGCACAGGGGGGCCCGGCGCGCAGCTCCGCGTCCTGTTACATCCCCAGACACGGAGGGGCCCCCGGGAGCTCCTTGCGCTCCCCGGGAGGGACAAAGGTTGGGGCAGCTCCCGCAGGGTCCAAGGGTGGCTTTGTTGGTGCAGAGGGGAGAGCTGGAGCGGGTGAGACACCAGCAGCTGCAGGTTTGGTTTGCGTTTCGTAAGGCAGGAACTCTGCAGGTCGTGGCCAGGCAGAAAAGTTCCATCTCCTCTCGCATGCATGTGTGCTTAAATAGCTTTGGGTTTTGCTGACTTGAATTTAGAACTTCCTGGACATGAATTCAGCTGCTTTGAGAAGTCATTCCTGGTTAGCAGCATACCAGGTCAGGCTGCTATTGGAGATTAGCTAATAAAAATACTTGTAGTTAATAAGCTGTTCATGTCTACTTAGTCTGAACAGACTGAGTGCATCTCTCTGGAAGTCTTTCTTACGTTGGGGGGATGCTACAGACTTAACTAGTTGACAAGAAATCAAGATTAAGAAACCTGGACCAGCTCTGTGGGCTTTTTTTGCTTGTTTAATAGATGTAGGCAGCTCCTCTCTAGGATCTGAATGCATTTTGTGGCAATCATTAGTGCTGCTGGTATCAGAACACAGATGGGAGCATCCAGCTTCTCTTTTTTCTCTTAGAGACATCATGTCTTCTGGAAATGGCTGTCAACCCCAGGCATTGACCAAACCAGCATTTGGTGAAAAAGAAGTGACTGAACTGCTTGACAGGGTGTTTGGATTAAAGTTGTCTTGGATCAGGCCTCTCCCCAGCTATGATGATCAGAATTTCCACGTCTGTGTCTCAAGGAACAAAGATGGGGCTGAAGATGCTGATGAGTATGTCCTCAAAATCACCAATTCAGAAGACAGCCAAGAACCTGACCTCATTGAAGTGCAGACCCAGGCCATGATGTTTCTCCATGCTGAAGGTTTTCCATCAGCTACTCCTTATCTCACCAAAGATGGTAACATCATGTCTCTGGAATCAGGAGGTGAGCAGTTACGAGCACCTTTACTACCCTACTATTACCCTTAGCTTGGCAGTACTAAAGTGAAACTCTAGGCTTACTTATAAATGTATGGGCTTATGTATCAAGTGACCTGTCTGTCCAGCCATAACTGGCCAAATTTAAAATACCAGAAACAAAGCAAGTTAAAGAGAGTAATAATTAACTATAAAAATACTTGCGAAGTAATTTCAGTATAATGAATTGGAGAAAACATTGGTCTTACCTGTCAATGGACAATAAAAGGAAAAAAAAGCCTCATTAACTAAGTCATGTTATAAATTACTTGCCTACAAAATGGTGTAAAATGCATCTCTAGCCCGTCTATGATACCAGAACAAATAGCTTTAACAAGGCTTGGAAGAAAGATTGTGTCGGTATTTTTCTGTTTTCACTGTAACTTCCATACCTGAGGCCTCCTGCTGCCAACCCGTGGAAGTTCTGCAGGCACTGGAGGAAACCTGCTGTGTGCAGAGTTAATTCCAAGTGTAAGGACTAGAAGTCCAGCATCAAGTTTTAAGTGTGTTAAGGTTTGCACATCATCATACAACATTCTGGTAAATCAAATCTTGGGACGAATTCTGTTTTATCAGCTACATTTCAAGAGTTCTGCACTGGGATAAGCTTTTTTTTTTGCTTCTTGCATTAACTAATGCTGAATGACTGACTGCATCTCTGTTTGCTTATTAGGCACTGGACCTGGGAACAAAAAGTACATGGTCAGACTGCTGACTTACCTGCCAGGTACACCTGTAGCAAAAATTGCTACAAATCCTCAGATTTTCTATGAGATTGGTAAGCTGGCTGCCAGTTTGGATAAAGCTCTCTCAGAGGTGAGTTTTTGTTGCTCTGGCCTCACAAACTTTTCTCTCATAATTTCTCCTCTGTTTTTGATGAAAGCTGACTCCTTTCCAGAGCTGCAGAGTACAAGTTGGTGAATGGAGGTGTCAGTTTAACTCACGTTTTTTATTTATGCTAAACTCACCTGTTTGGTGTTTCACACCTGTCACATAAGGAGAGTGAACCCTAGAGGGCTCAAATTAGAAGCATGTAAAGCTTGTTCGGAAGCACTTTTGGGTAGTGCACATCAGGCACTACTGGCAGATCTATTGGCAGATCTATTGTTTTGAGTTGCTTACTTCCTCCTTACATGAGAACTGTGGCCATTTAACACTGGCAGCAGTTGGTTCCTTCTCTTTCGTGCCAGCTGTGCCAATGAACAGACATTTGGAACATTCCTCTCATTTGCACCACTTCCAGTCAAATAATCTTAATGCAAAGTGAGTCCCTTCTTTACTCTGTAATTATACAGAATAATAAAGCTGATAAATCAGCCAGTAATTAAGTTTTATACATAAAAGAAATCCTGCATTATTTATTGCTTTTCATTAACCTTTCCTTCTCATGTTCTGGCTACTGGCTTCAAACAATTACAAAATGTTAAGTGGCAGCTTCCACTAACCACATTCTTAAATTACAAGAGCATTTTTCCATGGGGAAAGATAATTTACAGTTGCCTTCTAACACTCTGGTTGTACTTTTATAATGAGATTAAAATAATTTATGTAGACCAGCTAGTCTAAAAATACGCCTGTGATTCTCCCTGCAAGGAAATAATTGATGCGAAAGCAAATTTTGATGGAAAAGGCTCTTTATGTCCTTCATAGTGATTATCATCTACCAAGGTTTGTTGTTTAAAAGAAGGAAACTTACAATCATTAATGTAAAAACTTTAAAATATCATTGACAATAAAAATAATACCTAAGGTATCAAGTTTTTTAATGACAGATCAGAAAATACAGCCTGTTTTTTCTGCCCAGTTAATTTACTTTGTCAGCTTGATAGCCAAGCCATGTTCCACACTTTGTTTTGTGCACAAAATAATATTCCACGACTTTCTCTCTTGGTGTCTCCTCCTTGGATGTGCCTCACATCCTCTAAATGGAAATAAGTTACATTTATGGCAGTAAAGTGACTGTGGCTTTACAGTAAAAAGGGTTCATGATGTTTTATTACCCTTCACACAACTGGTATCCCACATTTACCTTGCTGGAATATGTGATTTGCGTTGGCAAGATGGCAGTGGTTGCTTACCAGGCAGCATCCTTCCTACCAACATGGTCCTGGATTGTCATCTTTGGTTTAGGCTTGGTTGTGTTCCTTACTTTTTCATACACAGGTCCAGTTTTGATTATCATTTAGCTAACTTTAAGAGCCATAATTACAAGCATAGGTTTCTTTTTTAAGGGGAAGCAAGCTACTGGTAGAATCTGACCCCCAAGCCACCTTAAAATTTATAAGCCTGGTATGCAGTGGGAGAAGTGCTCTTCTTCCCTGAATGTCAGTTTTCAAACCACCTTTTTCACTTGCTAGTGAGAGGGAGGCTAAGGACCTGGTTTGTTAAAATATTTAGGCTATGTGGATGTGCAAAGGCAGGTTTTTGTAATAAAGCTCTGTGCAACATCTCCGTAAAGTACTTCTGTCCTCAGGAATTTTCATCCTAGAGCTCATCCCCAGAAGCTGCCGCCTTTAAGTGCGCAGAGTGTGCCTGTTCTGGCACGCTGGCAGGTTTTGTGTTATTCTGCTCTGACAGCTTCCAAGGGCAGCAGCTGAGCAATCCAGGGTGGAACTCTGGCCTTGGCAAGGCCTTGAAGCTGCTCCATAACAGCACGTGACAGAAAGTCACTTTCCGTTTGAAATCACTGAAGTGACAAGTAACTTGAGATAGTCTTTGTACCTAAAAGAACTGGCCAAGACTGATTTGGGTTGTGTGTGGTTACTAAGGTGCTTGCCTTAGTCATTCTTCAGGTTATTTTTTGACTTGTTGATAAAAAACAATAGTCAAAGTTATGGTGCTTTTCAGTGCTGCTCATTAGGAACCTGTTAAAGCTAAAAGGGCTTTGAATCAAGCCCTTTAATCCTAAGAACAGGATTTTTACTTATGGCCTATTTTATTTTGTGCTTTCTCCAAAGAAATTTCAGCATCCATCAGTAAGAAGTCTGCACCGAGGTCAGTTTATCTGGAACTTGGCAAACGTTCCCCTTCTGGATCAGTACATCTATGCCCTGGGCCAGAACAAATACCGTGAGGTTGTGGAAAATGTTATTGAGCAATTCAAAGGGAAAGTAATACCCAAGCTAAGCAGTTTTCGAGCCTGTGAGTATTTTATTCTCATTGTAATTGTGTTGAACTGAGACACTGACATTTCTTACTGGAGCTTGGGTCTGTGAAGGAGACAAAAGGGAAAAAGTCTCCTTTATCCTTAGCTAGAAGTGTGCAAATATTGTGCTGAATGAACACAGTGCAGGATAAGCCAGGAGTGTGCTGCCCAGAGTCAGGTTCAGTTCTTGATCTTAGGAGTTTTCTTCCAGTTAAGGTTATGATTTTCATGCTGTTTTATCAGCTTCATAAGGATTTATGGAGTACACGACTTTCTTTCATACAGGCCCAAATAACTATTTCATAATAATTTTGGAATTCAGCTTACATTGATCTTCATGATAATTTGACAGTTTTGAAAGCTGCTGTTCAGTGCTTGGAAAACATGCAGCATCTCACAGGTAGCACCAGACCAGAGTAAGATCTGGTGCTCCCTGTGTCAATTGCTGCCTGGTCACCTCTCAGCAGAATGGAGGTTCCTGAGGAGCAGTGAGGCCATCAGAGGCAACACTTCATGCTGAGGGAGACTAGGATGGTTTTGTACTTGAGTGTTAGCTTGAGCCTCTGTGCATCTTTAAAAAAATATTTCACTGAGAAATGGGGAAAAAAAAAAAAAAAAGAATGGTGACTGCTGTAATAATGACTAAATATTGTTTGTTTCTTCTCTGTTCAGGTATCAATCATGGAGATCTTAATGACCACAACATTCTGGTAGACTCCTGTTCTGCTCCCCTGGAGGATCCTCAGTACAGGGTGTCTGGCATCCTGGATTTTAGTGACATGAGCTATGGGTACTATGTGTTTGAGGTCGCTATCGCCATCATGTACATGATGATTGAGAGCCCGGATCCCCTGAGCGTGGGCGGGCACGTTCTGGCAGGGTTTGAGAGCGTCCTGCCCCTGACACAGGAGGAGAGAGGTGCCCTGTTCCTGCTGGTGAGCGGGAGGTTTTCCCAGTCCCTCGTCATAGCAGCCCACACCGCCCTGCGCTACCCGGAGAACAAGGAATACCTCATGATCACCGCCAAAACCGGCTGGAAACACTTAATGACCATGTTTGAGGTGGGACAAGAAGCTGTAGAGGAAACATGGTTTCGGACTGCCAGCGCCTACGGGAACCGGGCTCCTGCCGAGCTGCGCGGTGCCTGCTGAGAGCCCCCGGCGCGGTGGCCGGCCGGGCGG